CAGGTGGCCAAGAAGGCCAATGGCATCCTGGCCTGCATCAAGAACAGTGTGGCCAGCAGGAGCAGGGAAGTGATCCTTCCCCTGTACTCTGCGTTGGTGAGGCCACACCTTGAGTATTGTGTTCAGCTCTGGGCCCCTCAGTTCAGGAAGGACATTGAGGTGCTGGAGCGGGTCCAGAGAAGAGCAACCTGGCTGGTGAAGGGACTTGAGCACAAGTCCTATGAGGAGAGGCTGAGGGAGCTGGGGTTGTTTAGTCTGGAGAAGAGAAGGCTTAGAGGTGACCTCATCACTCTCTTCAACTACCTGAAGGGAGGTTATAGCCAGGTGGGGGTTGGGCTCTTCTCCCAGGCAACCAACAATAGGACAAGGGGACATGGGCTCAGGCTCTGCTAGGGGAGGTTTAGGTTAGATGTTAGGAAGAAATTCTTTACGGAGAGGGTAATCAGGCATTGGAACAGCCTACCCAGAGAGGTGGTGGATTCACCATCCCTGGAGGTTTTTAAGCAGAGATTGGATGTGGCCCTTAGTGCCATGATATAGTAATTGAAGTTGGATCAGGGGTTGGACTTGCTGATCTTGGAGGTCTTTTCCAACCCAATCTATTCTATGATTCTATGATTAGGAAGAATTTCTTCACAGAAAGGGTGATTAGACATTGGAACACACTGCCCAGGGAGGTGGTGGAGTCACCATCTCTGGAGATGTTTAAGGAAAGACCGAGCATGGTACTTAGTACCATGGTCCTGTTGACAGGGTGGTGTTCGTTCATAAGTTGAACGCCATGATCTCAGAGGTCTTTTTCCAAAATAACTGATTCTCTGATTCTGAGGAAAACTCGCTCGTAACCGTGAGAGCAGCAGTCCAGCCGCTCTCCCCCGGCACTGACCTGCAGGTGCCGCGGTTGTCACCGCTCCGGCCCTTGGCCGGATCAGGGGAAAGGCATTGCCTCCCTCAAGACTCCGAGCCGCGGCAGCCCCGCCTGTGCCGGCTCACGGTCCGTACCGCGGGGAGGCGGGACCCGCTGCCCGGGCAACAGGACCCTGCGGCTGCTCCTCCCTCGCCAGCGCGGGGCGGGCGGCGGCGCGAGCAGGCGCAGAGCGAAGGCACCTCCCGCCTGCCCCGCACCGGCACCGGCACCGGCACCGGCACCGCAGCATCCCGGCCGCGCCTCCGCCGCTCTCGGCCCCGGGGCTGCTTCGCCGGGGGCTCGCCCTGTACAGGGCGCCGTCGGGACTCCATCGGCGCGGCCTCTGCGAGGGACACCGCTCGCCGCCAGCCATGGACGGGGACAGGGTGGAGATAGACGGCGGGATCATGGAGGGGGTGAGCGCCAGCGGCGGGCCCCGGGCTGCGGTCCCGGCCGGGCGGTGCCGCAGCGCCTGACGAGCGCCGTTTCTCCGAGCAGGGCGGGCAGATCCTGCGGGTGTCCACGGCGCTGAGCTGCCTGCTGGGGCTGCCGCTGCGGGTGCGCCGGATCCGCGCCGGGCGGAGCCAGCCCGGCCTCAGGTGAGACCCGCCCCGGGCGGCCCTGGGGCGCTCGGCCGATGGCTTAGGGCGTGCGGGGCCCTCCCGGGGCCGCGCAAAGAGCCTCGGCTGCTCTCGTCTGAAACACTGGTGTTTCCATTGCTTTGAGAAAGCCTTGTTAGCAGCAAATACCGTCTGTGGCTCTCGAGGAGTGAGTGCGGGGGAGCGCTAGGGATGAACCGGGCTCGGTCCCGTCGCCCGCTGCCGGGGCAGGTGTGGGCGCGGTTCGGCTGCCGCCTCGGAATGATTCCAGAGGTGCTAAGCGGACACACGGAATGAAACACGAAATACAGTCATGTAATGCCTCAGCGAGACGTGGCTCACCGAATGTACAGTGTTAAGAAGAGCTAGTGTATTTTCTATGTAAGTTACCCAGACAAATGGAAACGCAAGCACAAGAAGACACATCCATAGCAAACCTGATCGCTCTCCTGTGGCACTGCAGCTGGTTCTGGCACGGCCAGTATTGCCGTCCTTATCCATTCCATTTCTGTCCAAGCGTTTATCACATTAGGACAAGCAACTGCTCCTGCATCTCATCTGTCTGTCTGGACTCATTCTAATGGAAAAGATACCAGAATCCTGCATACTCCAGAATGGCCTGAATGCTGCTCCTTTGGCTCCTGTGAACTCAGGAGAAGTACTGTAGAAACCAGAGCGAATTTCTGGCCCTTGACTGATCAGAAATT